TTAGAACAACACTGTCCTGAAAAACTCACACAAAATTATTTACCAATGTTGGGTTTTCTTTTTTTGTATTTTAGGGAAAGGTCTACAGGGTGTTCAGCGTCTCACTACTAGATTGGACTCATAGTGACCCACCTGTTTACACCCTCCCAAGAGCTGGGATTGCAGGCACGCACCACCACGCCCAGTCTCAAATGCCATCTCAGCATGCCCCGGGGATGGGGCTGGCACAGTAGGTCTGGGGATTGAACCCCTGTCCCCTGCAACTACTTGCAGGTGTTTCAATCCACTGAGCTATTTGGCCAACCCTTTTGTTGGGTTTTCTATGAGAAACAATTATTAGTTCAACAAATTAGCAATGATAATGCAAACAACTGACTGCTTGGTCTTGTAAACTCTCTTCTTCATTCCTTCTACTAGATCTTCCTGTCCAGTCATGACTTCCTGAGAAAGAAGGGGGTCTGCTGAGGCCTTGAGCTATAGCCACTAAGATAGACATGACCAGCTTCAGGGAGCCAGACTGTGTTCCCAGGCTGGCCAGGCCTGGCTGTCTTCACAATGTAGTCTTTTTCTGTTTGCTTGTTTGCCTATTGAATCTTTTTCTCTTTCCTCATATGCTTTCTCGACTTATCTGGTTTTTGGCAACCAAACATTAAATAATAAAGATTGTAAGAAAGAAATAGACTCTTCTCCACTCTCGTACTCATGCCATAAGCCATCTGCAGACGTGGTTCTGCAGCGCTGCGTGACACATGTGCTGGACTTCCTGCCTTTCCTCAATGAATGGGAAGTCACATAATTCACTGTGGTTCCCAAAATAATCTGTTCAGAAATGGAGCTAGTGGTTTAGCAGTTTTATTATAATAAAAATCCAAATCTTATTCCAGATTAAATGCTTACCTTTTTAATAGTCAGCTTTCTGGCCACTGAACTGGAGATGCAACACCCACTGCATACAAAAAGATTCCATTTGGCTCAAGATTTCAGAGGATCAGTCCAGGGTCAACTGGCTCCCGTGTAGAAGCACCTCGGCAGAAGGGTGGGACAGAGCCTGCCTGCTGAGTGCCTGGTGGCCAGGAAGCAGAACTAGGGGTGTGTGCCTGGGAGGAAGGCTTCCTGGATTCTACAGAGCATCTTCACGGCCCACCTAGACGCACCGACCACCCTCCTATAGGAAAGAGTTGTGTGCACAGGTTTGCTGCCTCCATCTTCAGGAATGATTTCCTCTCTAAGTCACAATTATTATTACCTGGGGGTTCAACCTTTTCCACGCATGGAATATAAAAACTCAGAAGTGATATGAAAGTAGAAAAGTTATGCAGGTGCTAACAGGCACTGGCAGATGGTGAAACAGGCTCGCAGTTTTTCTCTGCATTTTCCAGGGATATTTATTTTTTAATTTTGAAAAATATTTATTTTATTTTATTTATTTATTTATTTATTTATTTATGTGGTACAGGGTCTTGGTACCCAGCTCAGACTCACAATGATCCTCCTGTCTCAGCCTTCCCAGCGCTGGGATTACAAGTGTATGCCACTACACCCAGTTTCAGTGGCCAGCACAGAATGCCCAAGGTTCTGGGCTGGCACAGCACATGGTACTGGGGATAGAACCCGCATCCTCGTGCTTGCCAGGCAGGCACTTAGATGCTCAGCTATCTCTCCAGCCCCAGGGATATTAAATTGCATTAAATGTTTCCTTGGAAGGTATGTGACTTGGTTGGTGTGTCATCCATACTATCACACTCCTCAGACCCTGGGAGTGTGTGACAACAGACCCCTACGCCATTGCCCGCCCGTGAGCCATCTTGCAAACCACTGAGAAAAGGCCTGTCTTAACTCCACCTCACAGTGACCCACCTCTGCTCCCAAAGTTTACTACGTTAGAGTCATTCTATGTAGCGATTCACTTTCCTTCTAAACATGGTGCCTACCTTCTGCCTGGCCACTTAGAGGCAGTACCAGCAACACGCCTTATTTTGAGACTGATCAGGCCTGAATCAGATACCAGTTGCTCTGTCCAGTCTTCGGGGTCCAAGGCATGTGTGAAGCCCTTCTTAATAGGCTCCAGGACAGAGATCCCTCCTTCTCTCACTCACCACCATAAACATGGTACTGCTCACAGCACAGCATCTTGAAAGAACTCCTCCTTCCCACGTCCAATTCCCTTTGGGGCTGAGTTAGCATCTTGACGCTACCCTTTCATTTTCTCACTGTGAGTGGCTCAATGTCACAAACATAATTTAAGATGTGTTCTGTACAGGCTCTGTGCAGGCAATCTGACATCTCACTTTGCAAAGCAGTTAGTTCATAATCGTAGTATGTCCACAACTGTCCCTGAGATTGTGATACTCCCAGTTCTCAACACCGAGCCTCTTTTAGAATTCATCTTTCCTCATGACTTGCTGAGTAATAGAAAATACATGTCCTCTAATAGTTCTCTCCTAGAAGACTCAATTGTTTTTTGAGAGCTTCCTGTTGGCACCTGTGGTAACAAGCACTCTGGTGGCAGAAACCCAGCTTTAATGCCACATAAGGGTGTGCATCACCCACTACAAAGAATTCCTCTGAAGAGCAGTTGACGCAGCATCTTGCACCTGAAAATCTTGCTAATTCCTAAGAAATAGCATGGCCACTCTCACTGCTGAAGTTGACAAGATTGAATGGACATTAATTTGCTAAAATAAAATGCCCCCTCTATGTCCAGATTCTCTGTCTTTGTCCAACCAAATGTCATTTTATATAAAGTGTCTGAGCCTCCTTGGATTTGATGTATATAGGGGTCAAAAGTCCTGTACCAATTTCTGGTGGCTGCACAGGGATGACAGCAATAGGAAAGGGGAAAACCAAATAAAATTACATTTTCTTACCTAGAAACTTACTAGTTTTTCTTACTGAGTTATTGTTCTTTTCTACTAGTCTGTGTTTGTGGCAATGTTTACATTCCTTGTGTGCATCAGTGCATGTGCATGACACAGAATAATCCCCTATTACAGCCCATTTCCCTCCATCCCCCTTCCTCTGCCTCTTGATCCTTTCCAACTGAGAAGCGTTTGCCAACCCACTTCCTATTAGCGATCGTTTATTTTGCTCTTTATTTATAAGTTGGCTTTCCTCATGTAAGGGAGCCAGGTGGCTCTTAAGCTTTGTGTGGCTGATTGATTTCACTTACCATTATGGTCTCAAGGTGCATCCACTTTCCTACAAATGTCTCAGATTTGTCTTTCCTTATGGCAGATGTTACTCCACACTGTGCAAATGTCACATTTAGTTTATCAGCGCATCCTCCGTTGGGCACACAGGCCGCTTGCGACATTCACTACTGCGAGCTGCACTGCTGTAACCGTGGGTGTGCATGGGGCTCTGCAAGGTGATGCCTTTAGCTCTCCAGGTAGGAGCCCTGGAAGGAGAAGAGCTGGATCAGATGGAATTTCTAGGTTATATTTTTCAGAAATCACCATAACAATTTCCATAGTGGTTGCACTAATTTATATTCCTACCAATAACATAGAAGTTTTCCCTTACCTGCATCCTCACCAGTAGTTGTTAGGATTTGATTTCTTTATGATGGCCATTCTTCCTGGGTCAGTTGGAATCTCAGTGCTGTTTTAATTGACATTTCTCTAATGTCCAGTGATAGGAGTGTTTCTTCATATTTCCTGGCCATCTACATTTCTTCTGGGAAGTGTCAGCTCATTTTGGTTTCCCATTGTTGAGTAGATCTTTTATTGTGGTGCATCTGATATGTTTGAGTTCATTATGTGCTCTGTTTACTAGTCCTCTACCTGCGGAAGAGCTGGCAAAGATGTCCCCACTTGGTAGACATTCTTTTCGCCATGGTAATGAGTTCTTTGGCAAGAAGGAGCTTTTTAATTTCAAATGATCCCATTTGCTAACAACCTTGTCAGCAATGGAGAAAACAACCCTGGAATTTTCGTGGAACCAGACAGTACATACAGTCTTATAAATCCTAATAGTAGCTGTAACATTAACTGTTGCTACATTGCCACATACTTTTTTTTT